TTTTAAATTTTAAAGTAAAGTATTTCTTGCCTTTTTGATCTCCCCCTTACCTTGTTAATCCTCACCTTTTCACCCTTTCCTCATTGGACAGACCAATCTCAGTCTGTCTCAGAAGTCATTGACATATTATCTGTGAGTTGCCCCTTTCAGGGACTAAGGCAACTTAATATTTTCTGCTCCAACTTTACACTTCAGAACCCAATTTCTAGACAGGTAGGGCAATAACTGTATTCTTTCTGTCTCTGTTTCATTTTACCTATATTTATTTTTTTTAATGTTTAAAGTAATGTACTTCCAGCCTTTTGATCTCTCCTTTAATTAGCTAATTCTCACCTTTCCTTCCCTCCCACATAAGACAGACCAATCTCAGGTGGTGTCTGAAGTCATCTGCAACTGAGCTGTGATCTGCTCCTTTTAGGGACTAGGGAAAAGAAATATTTTCTGCTACAATTTACCCTCCAGAACCAAATTTCTAGAATAGTAGGGCAACCACCATATTCTCTCTTTCTGTTTCTCTCTCTTTATTTTTTTTAATATGTAAAGTACATCTTGCCTTTTTAATCCCTTCTTTACCTTGCTAATTCTCACTTTATCCACCTCCTATATAGGACAGATTACTTTCAGACCCTCTCAGAAGTCATCTTCATCTGAGTCCTGAGCTCCCTTTCAGGGACTAGGGCAACTGAATATTTTCTGCTTCAACTTCACTCCCCAATTTCTAGACATATACTGCAACTTCTGTATTCTCTGTCTCTCTCTTTTTTTATTTTTAAAGTGAAGTAATTTGTGCCCTTTTGAACTATTTTTATCTTGCTATTTCTCACCTTTCCCTCCTTTGACATAGGACAGACCAATCTCAGGCTGCCACAGAAGTCATCTACATTTGATTGGTGAGCTTCCCCTTTCAGGAACTAGGGCAACTGAATATTTTCTGCTTCAACTTCACTCTCCATTCCCCAATTTCTAGTCAGATTGGACAAACTCTGCATTCACTTTGTCTCTCTCTATCTCGACACCTTAATTACTTATTTTTTTTAAAAATAGTAATGTTAAGTCCTTTTTTCTTTTTTTAGATCTCTTTTTCTCTTGCTAATTTTGGCCTTTCACCCACCCCTGATAGGACTGACCAATCTCAGGCCATCTCAGAAGTCATCTACATCTGAGCACTGAACTGCCCCTTTCAGGGATTAAGGCAAATAAATATTTTGTGATCCAACTTTACCCTCCCGACCCCAATTTTTAGATAGATAGGACAACCTCCAGATTCTGTCTCTGTATGTGTGTGTGTCTCTCTCTCTCTTTATTTCTTGAATTTCTAAAGTACTTTTAGCCTTTTGACCTCTCCTTTAGCTTGCTAATTTCCACATTTTTCCCCCTCCCACATAAAACAGAACAATCTCAGGCTGTCTCAAGTCATCTACATCTGAGCTGTGAGCTACCCTTTCAGAGATTAGAGCAACTGAATATTTCGTGTTCTAACTTCGACCTCCAGACCCAAATTTCTAAACAGGTAGGGCAAACTCTATATTCTCTCTGTCTCTCTTTGGCTCTCTGTCTTTATTTTTTTAATTTTTAAAGTAAGGTACATACTGCCTTTTTAATCTCTCTCCTATCTTGTTAATTCTTACCCTCCTCCCCTATACACATAGGACAGACCAATCTTAGATCATCTCAGAAATCATCTACATCTGAGCTGTGAGATGCCCTTTTCATGGACTGAATATCTTCTGCTCCAACTTCACCCTGAAGAACCCAAATTCTAGACAGGTAGGGCAACCTCTGTATTCTCTCTGTCTCTCTCTGGCTCACTGTCTCTCTCTGTCTCACTCTCTTTATATATTTTATTTTAAACATAATGTACTTCTTGCCTTTTTTTATCCCCCCTCTACCTTGCTAATTCCCACATTTCCACCCCTCCCATATAGAACATACCAATTTTAGGTCATTTCAGAAATTGTTACCATATAAGGTGTGAGCTGCCCCTTTCAGGGACTATGGAAAATTAATACTACCTGATACAACTTCATCCTCCAAAGTCCAATTTCTAGAACACTATGGCAACCTATATTTCTTCTCTGTCTCTTACTGTCACTCTCTCTTTATATTCTTTTAATTTTTGAAATAATGTAATTCTTGCCTTTTTGACCTCTCCTTTATCTTCTTAATTCTCACCTTTCCCTCCCTCCCACATATGACATACCAATTGCAGGCTGTCTCAGAAGTCATCTACATCTGAGGTGTGAGCTGACCCTTTTAGGGTCAGACAACTGAATATTTTCTATTCCGATCTCCTGCAGGCTGTCTCAGAAGTCATCTACATCTGAGGTGTGAGCTGACCCTTTTAGGGTCAGACAACTGAATATTTTCTATTCCGATCTCCTGCAGGCTGTCTCAGAAGTCATCTACATCTGAGGTGTGAGCTGACCCTTTTAGGGTCAGACAACTGAATATTTTCTATTCCGATCTCCTGCTCCTGACCACAACTTCTAAACAGGTAGGATGACCTCTGTATTCTATTTATCCCACTCTGTCTGCTCCTCTTAATTTCCTTTTTAAATTTTTAATATATAGTACTTCATGTGTATTGAATCTATTTTTCCTGCATATTTTAACATTTCCCCCTTTCCCACATAGGACAGACTTATCTCAGGCCATCTCTAAAGTTATCTGTAGCTGATATGTGACCTACTATTTTCAAGGACTAGGGCAACTGTCCTTTACTACCTCTTTCTGTCTCTCTTTCTTTATTTTTTAATTTTTATTTTTAAATTTATTTTGGTAGAGGTTTTTGCTATAAGGTGCATGTGCTTGCCAGAAAGACAGAGAGAGATAGAGACAGAAAGTGAGAAATCACCCCCCAACCCCAGGGAGGATGGCCATGCCACAATCCCTTCTCTATTCTCCTCTTGGGATATTGGGCATGCACGCACATGCATCTTGCATAAGTTTAAGCCACCAGGTCTGGGACTTGAACCATAGTCGACTACATGGGAGTCCAGTGACATAGCCATTATGCCAGCTGCTGGACCCTATGATTTTTTAATTTTTTTAAAGTACTTCTTGCTTTTTTGATTTATCCTTTATGTTGCTAATTCTTACCTTTCTCACCCAACCATATAAGACAAACCTATTTCATGCCATTTCAGAAGTCATCTACATATGAGCTGTGAATTGCCCCTTTTAGTGATTTGGGCAAATGAATATTTTCTGCTCCAACTTGACCCTACACCCTAATTTCTAGACATGCAGGACAAAATCTTTATTCTCTCTGTCTCTATTTATTTTTTATTTTTTTAATTAATTAATTAATTTAGAAGGAGAGAGTGGGAACGTGAGAGAGCAAGCCTCCAGGTCCAGGACTTGAACCACGGTCAGCCATGTGGGAGTCCACGTCCTTAACCACCATGCCACCTGCTGGCCCCAACTTCTTGCCTTTTTGATCTCTCCTTTATGTTGCTAGTTCTAACAACTCCTTTCCTCCCACATTCAACATACCAATATTAGACTGAATCAGAAGTCATCTACATCTGAATTGTGAACTACACTTTCTAGGACTAGGACAAAAGAATTTTTTCTGCTCCAACTTCATCCTCCAGACCCCAATATCTATACAGATAGGCAACCTCTGTATTCTCCCTGTCTCTTTCTGTCCCTCTCTCTCTTTATTTTCTTTTAATTTTATAAGTAATGTAGATTTTCTTTTATTTTTTTTGGAGAGATTTTCACTATAGGGCACGTGCCCTCGCCAGACAGACAGAGAGAGACATTAGAGACAGAAAGTGAGAAATCACCCCCCAGGGGGGATGGTCACGCCGCAATCCCTTCTCCTCCATTCTCCTCTCGGGATCTTGGGCACGCACGCACACGCGCCCGGCGTGAGTTTTAAGCCACCGGGTCCAGGACGCAAACCGCGGTCGACTACGTGGGAGTCCAGCGACATAGCCATTACGCTAACTGCTGGTTCCCTAGTTTTTCATTTTTGATCTCCCCTTTACCTTGTTAATTCCCACCTTCCCCATCCTAATAGGAAAAACCAATTTCAAGCCATCTCAGAAGTCATCTACATCTAATATGTGAGCTGCCCCTTTGAGGGACTAGGGCAACTGAATATTTTCTACTCCAAATTCATTCACCAGATTCCAATCTCTAGACAGGACAAACTCTGTATTCATTCTGTATCTCTCTCTCTCTCTCTCAATTTCTTTTTAAATTTTAAAATGTAAAGTACTTCTTGCACTTTGCTTTCTACTTTCCTTGCTAATTCTCACCTGTCCCTAACTCCCACGTAAGACAGACCAATGTCAGATCATCTCAGAAGTCATCTGTAGCTGAGCTGAGAGCTGCCTCTTTCAGGAACTAAGGAAACTGAATATTTTCTGTTCTGACTTCAACTTCCAGATTCCTATTTGTATATAGGTAAGGCAACCCCTGTATTCTCGCTGTCTCTCTTCATTTTTTTTTTCTAATTTTTAAAGTAAAGAACAAAACAGAGCCCAGTTTCATCTTCAGACCATGACCAACAGGGAAAATGAGGCAGTACTTCTCACTGATCCCTGACCCAGCTCCAGCTCTGGCCCCACCCCAGCTCTCCCAACCTCAGAGAACCCCCCAGCCAGAAGTGGCATCCTTCAGCTCTCCAGCAGAGCCCAGTTCCATATGCAATCTGCTGGCCAGTCAGAGAAACTGAGGCAAGGCCACACATTGGCCCTGGCCCCAGCCCAGCTCTCCCAACCTCAGAGACCCCCTCCCAGCAAGGTAGGTTGCTTTTTTCTCTTCTTTCTTTTTCTTTTCTCTTCTTTTCTCTTTTCTTTCTTTTGTTAATTTCCAACTTCTCTTCACCCTTTAAGGCAGCCCCCAACTCTCCAGAAGAGCCCAGTTCAATCTGCAGTTTTTTGGCCAGTCAAGGAAACTGAGGCAGAGCTTCTCACTGACCCCAATCCCAGCTCCAGTTCGGACTCCAGCCTAGCTCTTCCAACCCCAAGCCACCCCCCATCCCCCACTGGAGAGGGCAGCCAGCAACTTTCCAGCAGAGCCCAGTTCAGTCTGCAGTTCCTGGTCAGTCAGGGAAACTGAGGCAGGGCCTCTCACTGACACCAGCTTCAGCTTCAGCTCCAGCTCCAGTTCTGGCCCCAGCCCAGCTATTTCAACCCCAATCCACCACCCACCCTGACCAGAAACAGCAGCTCCCAGCTCTCCAGCAAGCTTGGTTCAATCGGCAGCCTCCTGGTCAGTCAGGAAAACTGAGGCAGGGCCTCTCAGTGGAACCAGTCCCAGCTCCAGCTCTGGCTCCAACCTAACTCTTCCATGATCAGAGACCCTCCCCCACCAGAAGGGCAGCCTCCAACTCTCCAGCAGAGCCCTGTTCCATCTGCAGCTCCAGGTCAGTCAAGGAAACTGAAGCAGGGCCTTTCATTGTCCCCAGCCCCAGTTCCAGCTCTGGCTGGAGACCAACTCTCCCAACCTCAGAGCCCCTTCCCAGAAAGCTAGGGTTTTTTTTCTTCTTCTTTCTTTTGTTAATTTTCTACTTCTCCGCATGCCTTAGGGCAGCCCCCAGCTCTCCAGCAGAGCCCAGTTCCATCTGAAGCCTCCTGGCCAGTCAGGGAAACTGAGGCAGGGCCTTTCACTAACCCTGGCCCCAGCTCCATCCCCAGCCCCAGCCCAGCTCTCCTAACCTCACCCCTACTCCATTAGAAAGGGCAGACCTCAGCTTTCCAGCACAGGCCAGTTTTCTCTGCTGCCTCCTGGCCAGTGAGGGAAACTGAGGCAGGGCCTCTCATTGGCCTCAGCCCCACCTCCAAGTCTGGCCCCACCCCAGCTCTCCCAATCTCAGAGATCGCCATTCCTTACCAGATATGTTGGTTGCTTTTTTTTTCCTCTTCTTTCTTCTGTAAATTTCTTACTTCTCCTGACCCCCCAGTTCTACAGCAGAGCCCAGTTCCATCTGCAGTCCCCTACATGTGACATTCTTTTTTTTCATTCATACCCTGTATTTTCTTCCCTCTTATGTTTTACTCTCCTCCTCATCCTTCACCCACTCAGAGGGACTAGACAGGTCTAAAATCATAGTTTTTAAATACCCTTGTATTATGAGGCTCCGGAGGATACTCCCTTTTACTGAACCACCTTTCAAAAAGGAGAAACTTCTCTTCATACATCTGAATAGAAGATTCCTCAGTAGGGACCACAGAGCTAAACATAGCAGAAGTGAGAATTTAGCACACATCAATCCAGAGCAAAAGAAAACCATTCTTGTTCCCAGTGGCAGAAACATTCTCCAATGACTACAAGTAGACGAAAAGCCTCAGGTTTGAAGAAACCAGGAAATATGTCTCCATCAAAAGAACACAATAAGTCAGCTCCATCTCTTTGAAAAACAGAAGCTACTGCAATGTCAGACAAGCAATTCAGAACATTCATAGTGACAAAAATCTATGACTTGGAACAAAAAAAAGACAACAATTTCCAGAAGTAGAAGTCCTTCCATGATTTGAAAGAAGAAATGGACACTATAAGGAAGAATCAGAAGGAACAATTAGAGATAAAGTCTGTAATATAGAAAATCAAAAATTCTCTTGATTGCATTAAAAGACAATTAGACTATGCTGAAGATCAAATCTATGATGTAGAAGATAAAACCTCTGACCCAGAAACACACACACACACACAACAAAAAGATAGAGAAAATAACACAAAAAATGAGGATAATATACAAAAAATATTAGATTCCATTAAATGTCCAAATCTCTGAATAATTGATATCCCAGAAGGTGAAGAAAGTGAAAAGAGCATGGATAATCTATCCCATGAAATCCTTGGAAAAAAACTTTCCAAGTCTAGAAAAGCACTCAAACATCCAGACCTAAGAAATACAAAAGATTCCAAATACAATCGACCCAAGAAGATTCTCCCAAAGACACATTTTAGTCAGACTGGCCAAAACCACAGGCAAAGACAAGATACTAAAATTGGCAAGAGAAAAATGACAAGTGACTTACAAAGGTCACTCCATCAGGCTAACACTGAACCTTTCAACAGAAACAATGCAAACAAAGAAAGAATGAAAAGACATATTGAAAGTGTTAAGAGAGAAACAATTTCAACCAAGATTATATCCAGAAAGATTATCCTTCATGTGGGAAAAAACATTTAAAACTTCTCAAACAAAACCTGAAAGAATTTGTGAACACTAGACCATCTCTTCAAGAAACTCTGAAGAGAGTACTGTTCCAGGAAAACTAAAGAATAAACAGTCAGAGATAAAGGAATAAAAGACAACCAAGAAAATAGCCAATTTAGAGGTAGGGACAAGTATGTAAATATTGATAGTAACATAGAATGTTAACAGATTAAACTCTCCAATCAAGAGACACAGAGTGGCTGAATGGAAAAAAATAAATAAATAAACACCGAACAAGCAAAAGCCCTCTGTCTGTTTCCTGCAAGAAACACATCTCATGGATAAAGACATACATAGACTAAAAGTGAAGGGCTGGAAAAAGGTATTCCATGCAAATGGGAATGAAAAAGGAAGTGGAGTAGTTACACTAATTTCTGAAAAAAAATAGACTTTAAAACAAAAACTGTTCGAAGAGACAAAGAAGGGGACTGTATAGTAGTAAAAAGACTAATCCATCAAGAAGATATAATACTTATAAATGTCTATGCGCTTAACTCAGGAGCACCCAAATAGTTGAAGGAAAGACTGTTAGATCTAAAAGAAGAAATAGACTACAACACACTAATTGTTGGAGATGACAATACCCCACTATCTCCCCTGGACAGATCATCTAGACAAAATTAAGTAAAGAGGTAAAAGGATCTAAATGATACCATAAATCAAATGAACTTAATAGACATCTATAGAACTTTCAACCCCAAAACCATGTGATATACCTTTTTCTCACACCCACATAGAACCTTTTCAAAGATTGACCACGGGGGGGGACCCCGCGCTGAGCGAGCGAGGCGGTGGTGGCGGGCGGGGGAGGGCCCGCATCCGGCCACCCCGCGCAGCT